ATAACTTTTATACACCGTGTCTGTTGTTTGATCCCTTTCAAATGAATGAAATACTGTTTAAACTAACCAGACCTGGTTCTGTAAATGAATGAAATACTGTTAAAACTAACCAGACCTTGTTCTGTGAATGAATAAAATACTGTTAAAACTAATTACACCTGGTTCTGTAAAGAACAGTGGAGATTTGTGACTGGTACCCGGATAAATTCACTTGATTTGATAAATATGTTTTTCATTTATTATTTAAATTGTATGTGTATATTGTGTGTGTTGTCCACGTGTTTGTCATGAGTGTATTTTGTTTATGTGTGGTGCGGTCCTCCTGTCCTATCAATAGACTAGTATTGTTGTTATTCAGCTTGTACATGTCATCTGTATTAAGATACACTGTATATAAGAAATATTATATCAGGTTGTTATTCACCTATTCTTTTGTTGTTGGTGAGTGAAGCTATAAATATATAACATACAGGTAGCCTATAGAAATATGTTTATAATATATATCTAACATATTCAAACTCAATCAACCGTTAACGAGAAACCAACAGTCCTATTCGGTATTAATTGATGAAACTATAATATATACACCTGTACAGGTAACATACAGGTAGTCTATAGAAATATGTGTATAATATATATCTAACATATTCAAACTCAATCAACCGTTAACGAGAAACCAATAAAAATAACCCTGTATACATATTGGTGTTCATGTACAATAAACCTGGACAACCGAAATTGGTGTTCATGTACAAGACAACCTGACAGTTGGAATTAGAATCTAGTAGAGTGATCTATAACGTGGATGATAACTAAAGAGAATGAGATGTGGTTTTGTTGTCTTAGTTATCTAGTAGACTGTTTACCCGCAAGACTGCAGTAAACTCTAGTGTTTTAATCGTTTTGAATTTCTGAGAAATTGTAGCAAGTTAATATATGTTGACACTGACACCCTGACGTATAAATGTAGATATTATCTGGTTTGCTCGACGAATTTACATTGATGTTGATTGAAACAAAACATTAAGTATGACTGACCGGGGAAGTAGAAATATCTCAAATACCCCTTGTATACAGTCCAATACCACATGTATATCTCACTTGTATACAGTTTGTTTACGTATTAACTGTCGTAGTTTAATATCACGTGATTGATGACCTCGGGGTCAAGGCAGGATAAAGTGTTCGAGGTGACTCGTGACGTCCATGTTGACTAGAGAGAAGAAGTTGTTGTATTGTTGTGTCAGTGATCTAGTAGACTAGTTACCTGTAAGACTGTAAACTATACCGTGTTTTATATTGGACTAACTGATTCATTCTGTATTTTATACAACCCGTGGAACAGTAAGACTGTAAACTACACTGTCGTATGTTATATCTGACTACTGATTGATTCTGTAGTTTTATCCTGTTTCAACTCGTATTGTATTCAACATGGCTAAACAGACAGATAAAGACGTGTGCATGATTTGTTTAAATGACTTTGAAACACCAGTTTTGATAGATTGTCAACATACTTTTTGTTTCATCTGTTTAGAAGATTATGTGAACAAAACCTCTACTAAAGACCAGTTCCAATGTCCATTATGTCGGTGTCTTATAGACGGGGGTATACAGCGTTTTAAACCTAAACTAAACATTGATGACAATTCTACTATTCCACAATGTGATGTATGTACTGAAGATACATGTCAATATTTTTGTCGAGACTGTGATCAATATTTATGTAAATCATGTAAAACCATGCATGGTAAGATGAAAATTTGTAAAGACCATGTTGTTTGTCGATATGATGAAAAACAAGTCTGTCAACAATCAAACGAACCAATGAAGGAAAAGACAACAGCCACTTCCGTCACACATCCGAAAGATTTCTGTACAAACCATGAAGATGAGGCAGTAAAAATTTACTGTAAAGATTGTTTACTAGCCGTGTGTTTCAACTGTTTCGTGACCAATCATAACGGACATAATTTTTTAGATTTACAGAAGGAGGATGTCAGACAAAATATCAGACAAGACTTAAAAACGCTGAATGAAGATTTAGAAAAACAAATTACCAATTTTCAGAAACATTATGATAATTTGAATAGTAAATTGATTGAAGTAAACAACTGTAACAAATCAGAGTGTGACAAAGTAGATGCACAGGTGGATAAAATCTGCTCCGAATTTCGTAAAATTGGCGAAAATATTAAAAAGGAAATGCAGAAATCTAGTGAACAAGAAGAATCCAAATTTGGGAAATTAATGGAGGACATTAAAAGACTAACCGAAGATTTAAAAGCTAGTGTTAAATATTCAGTGCATGTTTTAGAAGATTCGTCTGTTGTTGAAGTTCTACAAAGATTACCTAAAGTTAGACAGGAGAAAGATGAAAGTTGTTGTAGAAAATTGGATATACCTGATGTAAGATATTCAACATTTCAAGTAGCAGAGATAGATAAAACTTTGTTAACTAATCAACTTGGTAAAATTGTAAGTTGTCATCAGAATATGTTTGAAGATATTTTTAATGTGGATACTGTGAGAGATATAGTGTTTGGTAAACAACATGTAGTTCCAGGTTTTACATGGCGTATCTCTGTGTACTCATCATCATTATATGTTGTATTATTCCTGGATGACGTAGTCGATAAAAGTATTACGTCATGTCATGTTGACGTCACATATAAAGTTATAAATAAAACAGATGATAGACAATCTGTAGTTAAACAATGTTATGGGACTGTTAAACCTGGTGGTTGGGTCTGTTATACTCCTATTATTGACTGGAAGAGATTCAGTAATCCTGTCAGTGGATTTATTGATGATCATAGAAACTTTACAATTCAAACAACATTTAATAAAATAACTAACATTGTACGAGATTAATAATTAGACTACTGTTATTCTGATTAAAACTATTAACTTATGACCAATGTTCCTTTACAATTAAAGTAATAAATAATAATTGAACTTCTATCTGAATTATGTTTAGATAATCTACTCATTATCATGCAAGGGAGATAACCTGTTTTCTCGCGGACTCCGCAATATCTGATTATACCTGTTTAACTGATCTTATTGACTGGAAGAGATTCAGTAATCCTGTCATGGGATTTATTGATGATCATAGAAACTTTACAATTCAAACAACAATTAATAAAATAACTAACTAACATTGTACGAGATTAATAATTAGACTACTGTTATTCTGATTAAAACTATTAACTTATGACCAATGTTCCTTTACAATTAAAGTAATAAATAATAATTGAACTTCTATCTGAATTATGTTTAGATAATCTACTCATTATCATGCAAGGGAGATAACCTGTTTTCTCGCGGACTCCGCAATATCCAATGCTATTAGTTGACCCAAATGTTTTCAATATATATTGATGACTCATGTAACCAAAGCTAGAAAATAAATTCAATTTTAAAATCGATTCGGCCTCTATTGCTCACCCTTTAATGCAAGGGAAAAGTTCGGGAAAAAACTCTACCCATGTGCAACACTGAGAAAATGGGGTCAAGTGACTGTACTCATGAGTATCGTTATAAATTCCGGTTTGTCCACAGTTAATACTTATTCTGATAAATACTACATGAACGTAACGTATTAAACACCAAAAACACTTCAATGTATGCCAGGCGTGTGGGGGTTTTGACCTGTATAACACCCATGACGTCATAGTTTGGGGCCTAAAAATGTCGGTTGAAAGTGTAAATGACGTTTCGTGAATAAATATTCCTGGTAGTGTTTCGTTTGATTGAACCTAATCCCATTGACCAGAAATTATGATTGGTCAATACTGGGACCAACAACCAGTACAATTTGTGTCCCAAATTATGATTGGTCAATACTGGGACCAACAACCAGTACAATTTCTGTCCCAAATTATGATTGGTCAATACTGGGACCAACAACCAGTACAATTTCTGTCCGACATTATGATTGGTTAATACTGGGACCAACAACCAGTACAATTTGTGTCCCAAATTATGATTGGTTAATACTGGGACCAACAACCAGTACAATTTCTGTCCCAAATTATGATTGGTCAATACTGGGACCAACAACCAGTACAGTAAAAAAAATCAGTCGGGATTCTCCAGGGAATAGAAACCACACCAATTGACTCAATGACAGATCTTCACGTGCACGTGTTAAACCACAGGACCACCCAACCCTGACCCTACAATTTATTATAATGGAGTCAATATTTCTTCATTATTCAAGTTACACACGGCTGAAAAGTTTGTTTATTTGGTTGTAATTTGGTCTATTTGAAGACAAACAAAATGAAATGAAATTGGGTTTAACGTCCTACAGTTCTGCTCCGAACTGGGCTAATGAAGACGGGCATACACCATACAGTGTGCTATGAGGGAAATTTTGCCCGGGCAGCGGCGCTACGGCATACTCTTATATCGAATTCCAACTGTCAAGGGATCTTTTATGTGCACGCCAATGTGTACACGGGATATCATTTTTTCGTCCCATCCAAACTACTTGACAACTATCCTTGTCAGGCCCTCTGGCTTGCATCAGTGACATGGGGGAACCATGCCGGAAAATATGGAAGAACTTTCTCGGCCAATGCTGGGATCGAACACCCTACCTCCAGGCTAGCGAGCCAGTGTCTTACCCACTTAGCCACCGTGATTCCCAATTGAAGACAAACACATAAAATAGTAATGCTGATGTCAACCGCCGTGATCCCACTGGTTTATAGCTCACACAATCAACTTGGCAAAACATGAACAGAAACTGATCATCATCGAACTTAGTCAAGGTATGGATTTAATAGAACTATTAATCAAGTCTCCACACCATTATCAAACTTAGTCAAGGTATGGATATAATTGAACTAATTATACTCCAGCAGGTATAAAATTAATTATCTCTACTTAGCCTAAGCAGAAACAACTAATCACAAACATTCACCTAATAAACAACAACAAGTTGGGACATTCAACATGGCGTCTTAGATACAAACAAACAAACATGTTAATACAATATATTCTATTATATTAGCAGTAGTATATTCATGTGATATATACAATATTAGGTTATGTTTAATACACAACATTATGCCTGTATTATATACAAATTATACAATTAATACACAACATTATGTCTGAATCGTAAACAATGGCTACCTCCTATTATTACAGTTGTTCTCTCAAATTTCAGTATCAAGCACATTAGAAACTGATTGAAATGTCTGATAAATAAACCAGATACAAACAGTTATGTACTATTCTGTCTGATAAATAAGTCTACAAAACACTGAACAAATCTTCAGGATCTATATTAGATACATTAGAATTATTAGAACTACTTTTACTCATCCGACCTCGACCACCATCATAGCTAAAAATATAAAATAAAATATATAAATTATATAAATTATATGAAAGATTGACATTAAATAATATAAAATGGGGTTTAACGTCCTACTGTTCTGCTCCGACAGGGCTAATGTAGATTGTAGCACAAATTAGAAATTTGCTCGATTCTGATTGTTCGAAAAGTGTAGTTGGGTGGTCTAGTACAACCAGGGATTCGAAACCACGCCAGTTGACTCAATGACAGACCTTATGATACAACATACAAATGCGAACCATTATAAATTACCCCTCATTGGATGTATTTCTAGTTATTTTAGATAAATTATGTTTATAACAGTAATTACCTCTCATTGGACGTATTTCTAGTTATTTTAGGTAAAATAGGTTTACTTGGTGTCGCTGTTCTTACACTTCCTCTCTTTCTAGCTGACCTTAAAAATACAACATAATAACCATAATATTCACATTTAAAATACAGATGTGACGTCACCCTTTGATGTTGGCGTACCATTATTTCAAATAATCGTACGGGCAACTTGCCAATCGTACCTTGTCAAATATTAGACTCGAGTGGCGTATTTCACTGTAAACGCACGTGCGGAGTGTCTGTATTTTAAGATGTTTAATGATCTCGAGCTGAGACATTGCGTAATATATTGTAAAAACACTCGGACCTGACGGTCCTCTTGTTGTTACAATATATTACTTAATGTCTCGCTCTCGACCATTAAACAATACATAGTTACCATAACAACCATCTGACTCAACACTGAAACCCTAGTGTATGAGTAATCTATCTGTTTAGTTAAACCCTACTGTGTATAAATTCTACCTTTTAACTATCGTAGAAGATGATGATGTAATCTCGTCATCCCCTAAATCTAACGATGAATCTAGATCACCAGTTTTACGGCCTACATTCTTTCTCTGACGTTTAGGTGGTGGCGTCTAAAATAAATAAATAATATCACTTTATATAGTACTTTGAATAGGTTTTCATCATTCAATAAATATTGATTATTGATATCATGTAATATTCAAAAATAAACAGAATACTGAAAGGGAAGTAACTCTATTAGTAAGTGCAGGAGGACCGCACTACATGCAAAACAAAAATCTACAAGATAAACCTGCAGATAAGACAGAAAATAGACATTGCACCAAATAAGCAAACATCAAATCCAGTGAATGATTTTATATAACCTACCTCTTCCTCATCTGTATTTTCTTCTTTATCGCTAGAAAATAAAAACAATGGTGATCAAACACAGACTCTACAAAATCTAAATTTTATCAAATAATGGGACTACTGCTGGCTTTCAGTAACAAATCATCAATATTGTAGGTGTTCAATAATTAAGGTCTATTTATGTAGCCAGGTACATGTAATGGCCAGGTGTTCAATAATTAAGGTTTATTTACCTTTCTTCTTTATTTGTTTCAACCTGTTGTTCTCTGTTTTGTCTTCCATTTCGGTCAGGTGTTCAATAATTAAGGTTTATTTACCTTTCTTCTTTATTTGTTTCAACCTGTTGTTCTCTGTTTTGTCTTCCATTTCGGTCAGGTGTTCAATAATTAAGGTTTATTTACCTTTCTTCTTTATTTGTTTCAACCCGTTATTCTCTGTTTTGTCTACCATTTCGAGTAGAATTCGACTGTGACACTGTAAAATGTAAAATATAATCTTATCATCTTCATTTCTATTTTTATATTTTTTAAACCAATGTGTTTATACATGTCTCATACATGTTTTGTTTGCTATGTCTGTGTTCTGCTGTGCAGTTTTCCTGAACAGCCTATTAAAAGCAGACGAAACAAATCAGAATACTTTCAAAAGAATATTTTTTTTTCTGGTAATGTTAATACCAGACTGGCTAATGCAGTTGGCAGGTCATACGACCACTGGTTAATACCAGTTATCATGCTATTGTTCACAATTGATACCAGACTGGCTGTCCTACAGTTATATCATGCTATTGTTCACAATTGATACCAGACTGGCTGTCCTACAGTTATATCATGCTATTGTTCACAATTGATATTATTTTTCCTTTTGTACCAAAGAACCAGACAAATCTACCCTTGGGCACCTCAACCCTTTTTACCTTGTTAAAGATTTTAGTACTATAGACCAAACACAAAAATTATTTTTCTAAGATACTGCTACATCATTTAAAGAGAGCCTACCACCTGTTTTAATTTTAAATAAAGAACAATACAAATGGTCTCATTAATTATCGCATCAAATTGTTTTCTCCGGGTAAACTTGAATGGAAATGCATAAACATTGTAGGCTCAATTACCAAGTAAGCATCCCTGATAAATGTTATTGACAATAATACTGGATAATCATACATTTAACAACATGTATCAGATATTTAGGAAGGAATATATTGTTTTTGTATGACCTGATGATCAAGGGTGAAATAAACAGTATAAAGGGTGAGTTTTAGGTCACTAGGTCTGTTATTAAGTCAAGAGACATGAATCCCATATGTTAGTCTCAATATGATCAAGTCAGGGTGTACTTTAGATCACTAGGCCTGTTATTAAGTCAAGAGGCATGAATAATCTCAGGGTTTTTCTGCAGGTCCTTTGGTTTCCTCCTGTTGTTAAACAAACAGGTGAATTATTAACATGAGAGCACCATATGTTAGTCTCAACATGATCTAGTCAGTGTTAAGTTGATGTTAGTCTCAACATGACCTAGTCAGTGTTAAGTTGATGTTAGTCTCAACATGACCTAGTCAGTGTTAAGTTGATGTTAGTCTCAACATGACCTTATACATGAGCAAGTTTCCAAAAGAATAAGAAATACAGATTTTAATTCCTTCATTTATACCCTCAGAAATAAAATGGGGTTTAACATCCTACTTTAACAGGAGACCTCCAGGTAAACGAGCCAACGTTTCACCCACTGAGCCACCGTGGCTCCCCATGTATATGCTGGGTGTGAAATAAAGATTTAGTCATCATAAATAAAACGGAATAAGTGTTACCTGATGTTCCATCATCTTTCTCATTATCATCACCTGTAATAACACATCAAATATAGCACGAGTTAGTGAGCGCTTGATGTATATGTTGATAAACTTGATCGTGCAACAGTTTCTGACTTAAAAACCACGGAAAAAAACTAGGGCAGTGGATAATCCAATAATTTATTGGGCTTCGATATTTGTAATAAACAGTCAGCGATTAAAGACAGCATCGTCTTGTATATGCAATGAATTCTCCTCCGGCTTCGCACCTGTTGCTAGGTACCGAGACAGCTAAGTCACTTGACACAACAATGACCTCTTTTGATCAATTTTTTATAGCAGGGGTATTCCCTGACAATTACAATGTTTTGAGAAGGATTTGAAGCAAAATTATAATAAATTAATTGATTTGAATATGTTTTTAAAAGTAATATAAAAATATTTTTTAACTGAAAATAATTATATGTAATATAAAAATCATTCATATTTGAGTCAAACTCATAAATCTAATAACAACTTGAGTCATATTAAAATATTCCCTGTAAACAAATTATTATACCATATGTTAATTGTGAAATGATCTTGTTAGTTTCAAGTGGATGTTAAACCCTAAAGTCTCTCTTACCTGAACCATTTTCTTTTAAATTTCTTATTTTTTCTTTTTTACTATTTAATATGGCCACAAACTAAAAATAAAAGATATTTATGTAGATGATAATAATTAACCGGGAGATCCTGACTTTGATCCTGGTGTTTGTCGAGAAGGTTTCTTGAGATTTTCCAGGATGCTTTCCTCATGTCACTGGTTCAGCAAGGAAAAGGATGAAAATTGGTGGTCCATTGAGTACGAGATGGTGTCCACATTAAAGAAGATCCAACAACTCGAATTTGATCAAGAGTAGGCAGAAACTACACTGTCCAGTAAAAATTACCATCACTAGATGATGTAAGCCAATCTTCAATAGAAGGCTTGATTTTGCTTTAACTCTGTAATCTTATCAAGTCATTCACGTAATACCCTGCATATTTCATCATTAATTGTAGGTCGCCATGTCTGATTTGAGTGTTTATGTGTCCCGACCTCTGATTGCACAACGCTACTGTTCATGTGTGTGCAGTAAAGGGAGATAATGGCTAGATGTTGTAAAACTTGCAGTCATTGCTTCAGGAACATGGTGCTGTCCAGTCAAAATTTCTGTCCATTAAACCAATTTTCCTCCTTCAATAACCCGTGGTACAGGAACGTTAGACAGTAAACCATTTTTAGTTTTATTCTAACCCTAACCCTCAATAACCCGTGGTACAGGAACGTTGGACGGTAAACCTTATTTAGTTTTATTCTAACCCTAACCCTCAATAACACGTGGTACAGGAACGTTAGACGGTAAACCATTTTTAGTTTTATTCTAACCCTTACCCTCAATAACACGTGGTACAGGAATGTTAGACAGTAAACCTTATTTAGTTTTATTTAATAAAATATTTAAAACTAAAATTAAGAATCAGATTTTCTTATTGTGTCTTTTATTACACAAATACAAATGATAAATCATTCATACTTGGATGACATGTTATTTACCTTTGAAAATAAATCTTTTTCCATTTCTTCTTTTGCAGCAATACATTTTTCTAGCCTCTATAAAAGAAAAGTTGAAATTGGAAACAAACCTACAGAGCTGTTATTTTTTGTCATTGGGAAGAATTGTCATATGGTTAAAAAATATTTCAATAATTCACTTGCAAGAAAGTGTCTTTAATAGAGGGAGGAAACCAGAGGTCTCAGGGAAAACCAACGAGGTTGACAGGCGACTCTACACCTTAACGTGAAAATATTTAAAAATTACTGATTCACGAAACATGTCTAAAAACATGTAGAATGGACTAAACAGGCCCAAACGACTGCCATTCAATTTGGACTATTCAAGTATTTCACCAAACATAAATGATTAGAAATTTCAAAATAATTTTTTTCAATTTTCACTCATCCTAGGTATCCTCAGTGGTATCATTCCGTTCTACTCCACCATACCCTGGGTTCATTCACGGGGGAGACACAGTCAGTATCATCAGTGGTATCATTCCGTTCTACTCCACCATACTCTGGGTTCATTCACGGGGGAGACACAGTCAGTATCATCAGTGGTATCATTCCGTTCTACTCCACCATACCCTGGGTTCATTCACGGGGGAGACACAGTCAGTATCATCAGTGGTATCATTCCGTTCTACTACACCATACCCTGGGTTCATTCACGGGGGAGACAGTCAGTATCATCAGTGGTATCATTCCGTTCTACTCCAGCATGCTCTGGGTTCATTCACGGGGGAGACACGGTCAAATTATCTGCCCTTGATACTTGTGCTATTTTTATCGACCAATCGAGTGGGTGAAGGGAATGTAAATCTTTTAGAGAGCTATCTTGTGGGTAGAAAACAGTGTATTTTAGTTAATTGCAAATCGTCGTCTGAATCTGTTTTGTCATCTGGGGTTCCCCAAGGTTCTGTTTCTTGGTCCGATTTTATTTACCCTCTATACGTCACCATTAGGAGATATTGTCAGAAAATATGGTCTCAGCCTTCATTTGTATTTGATGATACTCAATTATATATTTCATTTACACCTAATTGTCCATCTTCTTTCAATTTATCAAAATTTCAACTTGAGAACTGTATTAGTGAAATTAGAAAATGGATGTCAAAGAACTTTCTAAAATTGAATGATGATAAAACCGAATATTTGTTATTAGGCTCAAGGCATCAATTAAGTAAATCTGCACAAGATAACCCCCCTGTTGTAATTGGTAATTGTGATATATTTTCATCTTATTCTGCTCGTAATATTGGCCCTATCTTTGATAGTTTTATGCTTATGGGAGCTCAAGTAAATAATATTTGTAAATTGTGCTATTTTAATATTAGAAATATAGGTAAAATACGTAAATGTGCAACTGTAGAGGCCACTAAGTCACTTGTTAATTCTCTGGTCACTTCTCGATTAGATAACTTTAATTCACTTTTAGTTGGTTTACCTTTAAAGCTTATAGATAAATTACAAAAAGTACAGAATACTGCGGCTAGACTTGTTACTTTAACTAAGAAATGTGACCACATAACTCCTGTTTTATATAATTTACACTGGTTACCTGTTAAATATCGAATTGATTTTAAGATTTTATTACTTACTTTTAAATGTTTAAATAATTTAGCTCCTGTTTACCTCTCAGATCTTTTAGAACTTTATACACCTGGCCGAACATTACGTACATCAGATAAACTACTTTTAAAGCCCAAAACTGTTCAACTAGTCTCCTATGGTCAGCGCTCTTTTAGTTATCAAGCACCTGTTTTATGGAATAATCTACCATTTAGTTTAAGATGTTGTACATCTCTGTATTCTTTTAAAAAACAACTTAAAACACATTTATTTAATCAGGCTTTTAACTGACTCTGTATACAATCGTTAACATGCCCATAATCTTGTTGTTTATGTGTGATTTACATTGTCACTTTGAAAAGTGCCCCTGAACATGTTATATGAAAGGGTGCACTATAAATATGCTGTAATAATAATAATAATAATAAACAATGACGCTATGACTCGTATGTAAACTGTTTTTTGATTGGTTCAGAGTATAATGAAGTAGAATGAAACCCAGGGTATTGTGTGGAGTAGAATGGAGGGTATTGTGTGGAGTAGATATCACTGGGGATACAGAAGATGATTTTCACTATACGTACACACATATTACATTAATATCTGCTTTTTGGAACCGGGGGATCACGTGGCTAAATGGGTAAGATGCTGGCTCGCTAGTCTGGAGGTCGGGTGTTCAATCCCTGCATTGGCCGAGAAAGTTCATCCAGATTTTCCAGCGTGGTTCCCCCTTGTCAATGATGCAGGACGGAGGGCCTGACAAGGACAGCTGTCTAGTCCTTCGGATGAGACAAAAAACCGAGGTCCTGTGTATATATTGGAATGCACGTAAAAGATCCTCTGGCAGTTGGAATTCGATATAAGAGTAGGTGATAGTGCCGCTGCCCGGGCAAAATTTCCCTCATAGCACACTGTATGGCGTATGCCCGTCTTCATTAGCCCAGTATAGGAGCAGAACAGTAGGACATTAAACCCCATTTCATTTCATTTCATTTCTGCTTTTAGAACCATTTTCAACTATTTTAAGCTTCCAAAGAATAGTCGAGCCATACACACTTTAAACAAATAGATTATTATTATCTTATGAGGTGGGAAAATATTACAGCCATCACTTTGAGACAATATTACCCTAAGGCTTCACAATTAATGGCTTGGAACAGTTGCTCATGCCTGGTGAGGGTTCGCACTGCTCTTGTATATATATATATATATATATTTATTTATGTTGATACACGCCTGATAACGACTTGTGAAATCTTGTTGAAACGTCACAGTGAAATAAACCATAGTAATTGTTTTTTGAGACAGTACTACATTGTAATCATCTAAAACGACAACGCTCGATCTTGGTCGCTAACGATTAAATAAACAGATTATTATCTTATCAAGGTGCGTAAATATTACAGTAATATCAAATATATTTTAAATACTACAGTAATATCAAATATATTTTAAATACTACAGTGTCATCACCTTTAACGTCATCATCCGTTCTTGTGACAGTCTGTTATTATCTGTTTCTAGCTGTTTAAGTTGATGTTGATCTCGTTCACTGTTGACTACGCTATGATTTAATATCGTACATTTACCAGTCCCTGGGTCATCTTTTAACATTAGAGTTATACATCCTAACTGAAACTATAGAACATATACCAGTCACTATAAACCTATACCAGTCACTATAGAACATATACCAGTCACTTTAAACATATACCAGTCACTATAAAACATATACCAGTCACTATAAACATATACCAGTCACTATAAAACATATACCAGTCACTATAGAACATATACCAGTCACTATAGAACATATACCAGTCACTATAGAACATATACCAGTCACAGTTGGAATTTGATATAAGAGTAGGTCGTAGTGCCGATGTCCGGGCCAAATTCCCCTCATAGTACACTGTATGGCGTATGCCCGTCTTCATTAGCCCAGTTCGGAGCAGAACAGTAAGACGTTAAACCCCATTTCATTTCATTCCCTTGAGAGCGTCCACAAGATTTTTCAAAGTGATCAAGAGCATAACTCTGACAGTAATTATCGGAAATCATTGAAAATCAATAGGCTTCTTCGTCTCATGACAATAAACACTGTGAATGAATTACTTTAGCCTCTAGAAGGTCCACAAGTAATTATATAAGCTGGACGGACGGAGGTGATGACAATATTTGACCATATTTCAATGTGGGCGTATAAAAAGTGAACAAACAATTTACCTTAATATCATCTGAGGTGACGTGTTTTTTCCACACCAATTCAGCCGTATCATCATTTTTAATTTTAACACTGTATTCAAAATTCACTTCATCATCATCTTTGATGAAGGCTTTTTCTGTTTGATTAAAATACGAGGTAAAATCCATTTTTAACCTTTTACGCTGTTTGTCCATATTATCAGCTGTAACTACATATATAATAAAATGGAATTTAAAGATACATTGTCACGAAAGTATTTATCTGGTGGTTATTTCCAATAAAAGTATGGCAAATTTGATATATATTGAAAGTATAGACCCACAATCTTACTACAAAAATATTGGATTACCCCAAAAATACCCTTGGGGCAAGAACTGGGCAAAAATGTCAGGGTTTCACTGACTGGCAACCTGACTGTTGTCTGCCAGCTTATTGTGCGCTAGCTTGACTCAGGGAGCGGTTGTTATTTTTTGATCAAATGGTTAGGTGGTTTGGGGAACATTGAGGGGTGTCAACGTACAAACGACTCTGCAATTAAACGTCGGAAAACGTCACAGATTATCTTGGTCCAAATATATCATCAAATCACACATTTTCTACTCAGAAAATTATCTTTAAGTGAGAATCGTGTGGCTTATGTAGGATGGTTGTAATAAGATGATGAAGAGGGAGGGCCAGCTGGTAGATTGCCCATAAATATATATTTAATTCTTTTTAATGTTGGCATGGCTGGTACTTCTGCTGCTAAATAGGAAGTGGGAGTTGGTTGAACATAAATAAATTGTAGTTTATTTATGGTATCAATGTTCTTGTTGATGGTAGGAGCGGGCAAAGTTTGCTTCAACCTGGCACATAAAATGTATGTTGGCGGCACTGGTTGTAATTTTTAATTATTTGGCTTTAAACTTCAAATGAAGTAGGAGAATGCTCTATTTTGCTGTAAACTTTGAAATGAGAAACTGCAAAACAGAGCTCTTAAAATGCTATCTGAAGTAAAAATTGAGCATGATGTATGCTGGTCTACATCAGTGCAGAAAAATAGGACTTTAACCCCCATTTTATTTCATTCCTACATCCCGATGTATACAAGTTCCTATATCCCCATGTATAACTTACAAGTTCCTGTCCATGTTGATTGTCCATCCGTTAGTAACAAGTTAAAACCATCTTCTTTATCCACTGGTATCGTCGTTAACAGAAAAAACTGCTCACTTCCATCGGTTGTAATCTTTGAAAGAACCTTTTACTCATGCTTTTATTTTAAACTAAAACAGATACAGTGGATATTTATTAAAAAGCTAATATGAATGGGGTTGCTATCATGGATATTTATTAGAAAATTAAAATTAAAATGAATAGAGTTGATATCGTGGAGTGAGATTGGGGGATTGATTGATGTCATGTCAGTAATCAGGCCTACTACTGTACGCCATTATTAGGTAGGCCTACATCGACCTGCCTAATATAAAGCAAAGCTCTTTTCCAGTAACATATATAACAGTATAACTGAAACCGTCATCTGTTGGCTTCAGACCAGAACCGGATACACTGGACAAAACAGATAATGCGCATGGGCTAGATCTATACGTAAGGCCACGGCCAAGGTTAGGGTTGGGATTAGCCCTAGACCTGTTTACATCTCGTGACCTTTGACCAAACTTGAAGTTGGCCTTATAAAATAGATCTAATGCATGTGCATGTTAACATGGTAAGAGTTATCTCCTCCTTTCTACCAAATGTCGCCCAAACGAAATTACGTAGCTAATTAATTTTCACACTTTTTGATATTTAACAAAATTAACCTAATACTCATGTAAAATTTAACTTAAAAAACAATTTTGATATTCACATGGAATGAAACTGATTAATATTTTTGGGATTCACTGAAAGGTTTATTGTGGAGGTTTTATATTTGACAACAACCAACTTGGCTCTACACTCACTGACTCAGGTCATTTAGTTAAATGGTTGTTTCCAGTCGATCTGACTCCAAATCTGACTGGAGAATATCAAAACCTGGGTTGTGGGTAGGATCGTACCCTGAGAATATAAATGCCGATTTGTTTGTAGCTGTACTTTGTGGCTGTACTTTGATACTGACATTGATAAAGAGCGAAGCTCCACAGCCCAGTGCTTGAGCAAAGCTCTTTTCCAGTAACACTGGAGCGTAACTAAAACTGTCACCAACAGACTGTCGGTTAAAAAAAAATTCAGACCGGAACCGGACTGGGCAAAACTGGTAACGAGCATGTAAATTTACCAAATCTCACCCAAACAAGATTACGCATCTTATAGAAATATTTCTATGACACGTCTAATCAATGACTTCACATATTTTTGACATCAATGAAAATAATTCTCACAGTTACGCTGTTTTGTTCTTTTTTTTTAAAACAAAATTAATTAATCATACAATTTAGATCTAAATTAAAATCAATTCGGAAGATAGGTTGCCACGCAACGAAACTACGCACACAGCCGCTATATCGTCAGGGCAGTCAACAAGAGTTGTCGCATATTTTTACTCTTTTCGGTAATGAAACATCTATAATGTACATTAAAATCTGATTAACAGTAACAACTCATTAAGTAATTATCAGAAAACCATTAGAATTTGTTTGGTTTTTATAAAGTTCTGCCCCATGCTAATGTTTTGTATCCAAAACTTTTAACATCATGGATTTAGTTGTTCAAGTCATAAAGATTCATTAAAAAATCAATATACTTGTTCATCTCAAGACCTTTTAAACTCTGTGTATCAATCTGAAGTCAATAATAATAATAATAAACAATGACGCTATGACTCGTATGTAAACTGTTTTTTGATTGGTTCAGAGTATAATGAAGTAGAATGAAACCCAGGGTATTGTGTGGAGTAGAATGGAGGGTATTGTGTGGAGTAGATATCACTGGGGATACAGAAGATGATTTTCACTATACGTACACACATATTACATTAATATCTGCTTTTTGGAACCGGGGGATCACGTGGCTAAATGGGTAAGATGCTGGCTCGCTAGTCTGGAGGTCGGGTGTTCAATCCCTGCATTGGCCGAGAAAGTTCATCCAGATTTTCCAGCGTGGTTCCCCCTTGTCAATGATGCAGGACGGAGGGCCTGACAAGGACAGCTGTCTAGTCCTTCGGATGAGACAAAAAACCGAGGTCCTGTGTATATATTGGAATGCACGTAAAAGATCCTCTGGCAGTTGGAATTCGATATAAGAGTAGGTGATAGTGCCGCTGCCCGGGCAAAATTTCCCTCATAGCACACTGTATGGCGTATGCCCGTCTTCATTAGCCCAGTATAGGAGCAGAACAGTAGGACATTAAACCCCATTTCATTTCATTTCATTTCTGCTTTTAGAACCATTTTCAACTATTTTAAGCTTCCAAAGAATAGTCGAGCCATACACACTTTAAACAAATAGATTATTATTATCTTAGAGGTGGGAAAATATTACAGCCATCACGTTGAGACAATATTACCCAAAGGCTTCACAATTAATGGCTTGGAACAGTTGCTCATGCCTGGTGAGGGTTCGCACTGCTCTTGTATATATATATATATATTTATTTATGTTGATACATGCCTGATAACGACTTGTGAAATCTTGTTGAAACGTCACAGTGAAATAAACCATAATAATTGTTATTTGAGACAGTACTACATTGTAATCATCTAAAACGACAACGCTCGATCTTGGTCGCTAACGATTAAATAAACAGATTATTATCTTATAAAGGTGCGTAAATATTACAGTAATATCAAATATATTTTAAATACTACAGTAATATCAAATATATTTTAAATACTACAGTGTCATCACCTTTAACGCCATCATCCGTTCTTGTGACAGTCTGTTATTATCTGTTTCTAGCTGTTTAAGTTGATGTTGATCTCGTTCACTGTTGACTACGCTATGATTTAATATCGTACATATACCAGTCCCTGGGTCATCTTTTAACATTAGAGTTATACATCCTAACTGAAACTATAAACATATAACAGTCGCTATAAACATATACCAGTCACTATAAACATAAACCAGTCACTATAAACATATACCAGTCACTATAGAACATATACCAGTCACTATAAACATATACCAGTCACTATAAAACATATACCAGTCACTATAAACATATACCAGTCACTATAAAACATATACCAGTCACTATAGAACATATACCAGTCACAATAAACCTATACCAGTCACTATAACCCTGCTATACCGTACTGAAACTATATTGTATATACATTATTAATATAATAAACTCCAGGAAGTCAAGAATTGCTAGAAATACCATCACTCCTCCTAATGCCTGCAACAAGATCTAAATATCTGTAAACTATTGAAATACAATTCAATCCCTGCATTGGCAAAGAAAGCTCATCCAGATTTTCCGGTGTGTTTCCCCCTTGTCAGTGATACAGGAGGGAGGGCCTGACAAGGACAGCTGTCTAGTCGTTCGGATGGTATGAAAAAACGAGGTTTCGTGTAGACATTGGCGTGCACGTAAAATATCCCTTGACAGTTGGAATTCGATATAAGAGTAGGTCGTAATGCCGCTGTCTGGGCAAAATTTCCCTCATAGTACACTGTATGGCGTATGCCCGTCTTCATTAGCCCAGTTCGGAGCAGAACAGTAAGACGTTAAAACCCATTTCATTTCATTCCCTTGAGAGCGTCCACAAGATTTTTCAAAGTGATCAAGAGCATAACTCTGACAGTAATTATCGGAAATCATTTCTTGATCAAATGGTTAGGTGGTTTTGGGAACATTGAGGGGTGTCAACGTACATACAAATGACTTAGCAATTAAAAGTCGGAAAAAGTAGTTGAGAGAAAATCTTAGTCTAAATCTATCATCAAATCAGACATTTTTATACTCAGATAATTATTTTAAGTGAAAATGGTGTGGCTTATGTAGGATGGTTGTAATATGACCAAGAAGAGGGACGTTCAGCTGGTATGTAGGATGGATGTAATATGACCAAGAAGAGGGACGTTCAGCTGGTAGATTGCTCAGGGACCCATAAATATATATTTAATTCTTTTTAACGCCGGCATGGCTGGTACTCCTGCTGCAGAATAGGAATTGGGAGTTGGTTGAAAATAAATATATTGTAATTTATTTATGGTATCAATGTTCTTGTTGATCCCTATATCACACCATGTATACAAGTCCCTATATCCCCATGTATAACTTACAAGTCCCTATATCCCCATGTATAACTTACAAGTCCCTATATCCCCATGTATAACTTACAACTCCCTATATCCCCATGTATAACTTACAAGTTCCTGTCCATGTTGATTGTCCATCCGTTAGTAACAAGCTAAAACCATCTTCTTTTTCCACTGGTATCGTCGTTAACAGAAAAAACTGCAGACTTCCAACGGTTGTAATCTTTGAAAGAACCTTTTTACTCATGCTTTTATTTTAAACTAAAACAGATATAGTGGATATTTATTAAAAAGCTAAAATTAATGGAGTTGCTACAGTGGATAATTATTAGAAAATTAAAATTAAAATGAATAGAGTTGATATCAACGCGTGAGATTGGGGATTCATTGATGATGTCATAAGACTAAAATATATGATCGAATCAAGCCTACTATAGTACTATGTCATTATTGGGTACATCGACCTGCCTAATATAGAGCAAAGTTTTTTTCTGGCTACATATAAAAGTATAACTACAACCGGCATAGACTGTTGGCTTCAGACCAGAACTAAATATACTGGGTAAAATAGATAATGTGCATGTTAACATAGTTAGAGTTATCTCCTCTCTACCAAATCTCATCCAAGCGAAATTACGTAGTTAATTCATCACTGACGTCATATATATATATACATTACACAAAGTCAATGAAATTACATGTAATTATCATACTGTTTTTGATTTTTAACAAAATTAATCCAATACTGGCCAATACTCATGCAAATTAACTTAAAAAAACAATTTTGAAATTCACATGGAATGAAATTGATTATATTTTTGTGGTTCACTGACAGGTTTATTGTGGAGGTTTTATATTTGACAACAACCAACGTCGTTCTACTCATCAGGCTATGCCTCAGGGGCAGATCCAGGAATATTGACAGACGAGGGTTTACCCAGTACCTGAGATATTAAATCTTTGATGAGGGATCTAAATAAAAATCAATTTGGAAAAACGAAATTATTTTACATTATTTGTACATCACTTGAGAAACTTATGAAGGTTTTATATTTAACAAAAATCGCTCTACTCAGGCATATTAAAATTTGATGACAATTATTAAATGAAATGAAATGGGGTTTAACGTCCTACAGTTTTGCTCCGAACTGGGCTAATGAAGATGGGCATATGACATACAGTGTGCTTTGAGGGACATTTTGCCCGGACTGCGGCACTACGGCATACTCTTATATCGAACTCCAACAGTCAAGGGATTTTTTACGCGCACGCCAATGTGTACACAGGACCTCGTTTTTTTGTCTCATCCGAATAACTAGACAGCTGTCCTTGTCAGGCCCTCCTTCCTGCAGACAATTATTAACAATTATTACTAGAATAGTACTGATCTGACTGGAGAATATCAAAGCCTGGGTTGTGGGTAGGATCGGGGGACTAGATCAGATCATTCATACTGCTGAGTGAGTGAGTGAATGAATCAATGATAATAATGATTATATATGATGGATCTTTCGGCATCCACATCAATGAGGCGGGTATCAAAATGGTATTTAAAGAATATATTGACACGTATAAAAATTCAATCTATAAAAAAAATAACCTGTTAACCTCTGTAATTTAATAATTTCACTATAAATTTATAAAGTTTGTTGTTTATTTACAAATTTCTCCACGTTTGACAGCCATATTGTAACAAAACGTCAGATTAGTAAATTTAAACGAAACGAAATATAAAATTATACATCTGCGACCTTTCAGTCTATTGAAAATAGAAATTTGCAAACTTTTTGGCAATACAAAAAAAATAGTATTCTGAGATTTATTTCAAAGAAATAATTTTTAAAAGGTATAATATTTCTGATATCATTCCGTAGTAGATAAATTTTTGATTTAGGTTAAATTTAATACTAGTTAAGGGAGACTAACTTGGCACAATGCATTAAATGACTCAAAGATCGCGTCTCTTCTATCTTGTAAACTTTGATTCTATTGGACGATATAAATAGATGATCCACTCAAAATAAACTTTATCGGTTTTCGGCCAAATCAACACGTTGACCTTTCTCATGGTCTACCGAAGAAAATGGTTAGTAAATTTGTCAATTAAATATCATTGAATATTGAATATTCTATTAGCATTTTTACATTTTACAATGATACAAAACGTCTGATTAATATAGCACACAAAGTTAATGGACGGGAAAACATGTGTGATCCTGTTCTATTACTTCATTAACGAAACCCGACTAATCATGAAAATGATAAATTGATAGTAAGACTATCAATCAGCTACTGCAGCTGAGCTGTTCGTTCGTTTCTGGGGTTTTACGTCCACTTCCACTTAAGGTGATATCGTAGACATCCGTTTCAGTACCCTAATTTCAAATGGCCATATCTCAGCAAGTTTGCAGAAGAGAGGTAAAATTTCGGATTTCATAGTTTAAGGCCATATACTATAACATATATTTTTTATAATTTTTTTGGAGGGGGTCATATGTTCCCACCATCAGTCCAGTTGGTATGGAATGACCCTATAATGGTTATTAAAAACTTGCCTGTGTGTTTGAAATCACCTCTAGCCTCTAACTCAATATCATCCACAGTCTTCGACATTGCAAACACAACTTCCAGGTCACTTTAAATCAACATTGATGCTTCTAAGTTCTGATATCCAGTATTTAAGACAAAATGAAAATTTTAAGAAATTGGCACACGAATCACTTGTCAGAATGCTTTTGAGCACCATTTGTAATGATTTGACTTGATCCACAAGGGTAAATATATCCTACATGAGAATACTACCTGTGTAGACTGGAATAACCCAAGGCAAAACGACTTCCATTGAATTCTGACTCTTCAAGTATTTCGCGGATCATACTGTGACTGATTAAAAATTACAGTAAAAACCAAAACGATTGGTGGGGGGGGGGGGGAGGGTCTAGTGGTTCAAGGTCTGTCATTAGCTCGTTTACACTTGGCTGCGATAAGAGTGACGTTCTCATCACAATACCAGGCGGCGATAAATATCAAGAAATTGACCTGTTAACATTACTCTAAAATAACCGATCTCAGAGCCGTACCAGGCACGCCAAATGTGGAACTCTTCACAGAAAAGTTAATTTCAGTTCCTATGCAAATTACCCGGATGAAAACAATTCTAATGGTTGATTTAGTTTGAGCAACCATTTAGACAGAACTGTCAAAGTTCACGGGTCAAGGTTAGTTTGGCGCATGCGCAGTAATCTGTACTGAAACGGTGCTCAGACTGGATAGCGTTTACACTACGAAAATTTAATTTTGCCGTGCCTGGCACCGTGCCGAGACCACCTCACTTGTGGGCCAGATTGTATGGCACGCTTAGGTTTGACCCGTTTACACTACAAAAATTTGCTGTGCCTGGCACGCTTATTGAGTCAATTTGTGTGGTTTCGAATCCCCGCTTGAATGTAACAAGGAGTAGGGTCGCTTGACCACCAGAGCTTGCCCCCCCCACCCCTCTGTCGCTGATATGTTGGTCTACTTACCATTTCTACGTATCGTATATCCCCTAGCAGTGTATATCGTATGTACCCTATGTATCTTTTATCTCCCAGCAGTGTAAATCCTACACATACCAAAAGTTTAGTCTACTAATGTATATTTAGTTGTTACTGGTGAAAGATCCCCAGCTTGTGTTGCAGGATAAAAATGTTTGGTAAGAACAACCGTCGAGTCGTTCAGATGGAACAATATGGTAGCACATAAAGATCATTTGAAATTTGACAGATACAAATCATAGCACCGCTGTCCTGGAACAATTTAACACATGGCACATTGCATGATTATAACAATACCTGGACATACAGCACACCTGTCACAGACATTGTCACAAGTTATTATATGTTATTATATATATACCTGACAGGTATCCATTACAGATGTCGCTAACAGGTGTACCTTAATAAAGTATTTGTATACAAGTGACTCAAAATATTCTACTGATCAGTGAATCTTTTCTTTTTTTCTTTTTTTTCAGTCAGCCTTGTTTAATTTCCAGAGTTTATTAACGGTTTTATTATTATTGATATGTACCTGTACTTACCTGAGATCTATTATACCTAGTATAATTGATAGAAATAAAATAGGGTGAGTACTCTCAATAGATCTATTATCAGTGATGTAAGACAGTGGGCAACGTATAGTTGTTCGGATGGGACCTCGGAGGTTTCATGTACACACTGGCGTGCATGTAAAAAAAAGAACCCTTGACAGTTGGAAAATTGAAATAAGAGTAAGCTGTAGTGCCGCTGTCCCAGCAAAATTTTCCTCATGACACACAGTATGGCGTATGCCTGTCTGTCTTCATTAGCCCATTAGGAGTGGAACAGTAGGACCTCATTTCCTCAGTAACTTTACAATGTTTATAGGGGAGTTGGATGGCCGAATGTTTTCGATTCTTCGGTGTTGTTCAAGGAGTAGGGTCACCTGTCTAACCTCGTGGGTTTTCTGCGAGTCCTCCAGTTTCCTCCCACTGCTAAAGACCGCTACGCGCAAGCGAACTATTGAAATAAAATTGAACCATATGTTGGTCCCGAAATGACCTAGTTTATGTGAGTGGACCTTAAACACCATTTCTCTCTCTTGCAAATTTAATAATATTTTTTTTATTTGTTTATAAGTGTTTACTTACTGGACTTTTTACATGAATGCTTTAAAATCATTGTAGGCATCATCCTTTTCTTATTTCAGTTTTCTAGGAATATTTTGGAAATTTGCAAGAATAGGTAAGTCTCTATATTGAAATCTATGTTAATTGTCATCACTCTCAACAGGTCCATCGTCTACATGTCTATTGTTGTCACCCTCAACCAATCCATCTTCTATGTCTATTGTTGTCACCCTCAATCCATCCATGTCTACATCTCTCTCTCTCTCTCTATTTCTGTCACCCTCAACCCATCCATAGTCCACAGTGTTTAACTTTAAAGCTATGAAGACAACAATTTATTTTCATCTGTTACTGTCAATAGGGGGAAGGGGGTGTTTGGGGGGGGGGGGGGGACTGAATAAACTTGGACACCCCCCTCCTCAAAAAAAAAAATTTACATAGTAGGCCCTATTTATTTACAACAATTATTAGGATATTAGATCGAATTTTTACCGTTGTCAGTCATTACATTACAAGTTTGCCCAACTGGGTTTATGTGTTAAAGTGTTAGATTTTTAAAAAGAGTTAGGATTAGTTAAGATTCTATCTGCATAAAACCTGTACATATCCCAATATGTCGGTGTGATGTTTTTGTTTAACCCAGTAAAATATGCCAAAACAGTGTTTACAGACCCACACTTGCATATGTATGTGACAAGGAGTAAGGACGTCTGTTCATCCTTTTGGGTTGTTACCGGTTTCCTCCCACAGCTCAAAGCCTCTCTGTGCAAGCGAATCATTGAAATAAAATTGAACCATATGTTAGTCCCGAAATGACCTAGTTTGTGTCGAGTGGACTTTAAAACCTATCTTTACTGCAGAGTCTGATCACATTAAGAAATCTTATGGATGCTCTATTAATTAAGTGACTCTTGATTTGCACTTTGTATAATAATCATTAATACTAGGAAGAACTTGTGGACGACACAAGAAAACAACATCTAGTTGTTTGGATGGTGTGAAAACCCTGAAGACCAGTTGTGCATGTTAAAGAACCCATGAAAGTTAGAATTTGATGAAGAGTAGACACAAACGCATACTGAATGGCGTATATATACATTAGCCTAGTCGGATGTTAAACCCCATTTTCATTTCCGGTATTAAATTATTTTACATAATAAAGATATTTTACTGTGTTTATATTACATAATCAAGATATTTTACTGTGTTTTTCAGGTGAAAGAAAAAGTCCATATGTAGCTGTTTGTTGTATTTCCATGGCACTGAGTATTTTATTCTGGTCCTGATCCTGTATTTAATATATTAAATCAATGGACTAGTCCTATGTATAAAAGTAAACTAAACCTGATGATTTTATAACTGAGATGTGTTCAACATGGTGGAAGATGTCTATTTATTTATGGACAGGGTGCTCTATTTGTACAAACATTTTTAGGACTTGATGTATTCACATGTAAATATTTCACATTATTCATCACTCATTTGAAGGAGCAGTTCCAGATATATTTAAGTGAATAAAAGTGGTTAATTTGGGGTGAAAATCTCTTTGAATTTTTGTGGCATCCTTTCGAAGAAATACAAACTGGCTCTTAAAGTGCCTGGTTAATCTTGTCTATAGTTTAAGCGAATTTGTAGTGGTAAGTGATAGTCACGAGTATCACGTCACTTGAACAAATGAAGAATGAAATTCATAGAATGAATTACGTAACTCGATTCATCAAATCTTATTTATGGTGTATCGTATTTATGTATTTATGGTGGCCCCTTCATTTTCTACAGATTCAGTAACAGTTGCCAAAGCATTCTAACATTTTCTAATCTTATTCAAATTACATTTTTATTTTTGTTCCAATTTGGACTACTTCCAATTTCCTGTTCTGCTTGAAGCCTAGCTTTTAAATGTCATTGTTATTGGTTAATTACATTTTTGCTCAAGACATAACAGCTCCTGATTGGCTAGACAAGACATAACAGCTCCTGATTGGCTAAACAAGACATAACAGCCCTTGATTGGCTGGACAAGACATAACAGCTCCTGA